GGTCAAGGGGCCCCGCTCCAATAATATGCCACAGGCCCCGCGGAACGTTAATCCGGCCCTGCACAGGAATCTTCTAAATTTCGGAAAGTGAAAGTAAACAGTTTGCTGAGCGAATTTATAAATATTTCGATTACGGGGTGACTCAAGGGGGTGACCCACAGGGACGCCGGAACTGGGGGGCAGGGGGGGGGGGGCGGCTGCCCCCCTTGCCTTTTGCTAAGGGGGGGGGGCAGGGGGGCAGAAGTGCCCTTTTAGTTATAAAATACTACGTGATAAATCACATTTCCAACGATGCTTTTTGTAGGAAAATCATGAGATTCAGGTAATTTATAGTTTATATTTATAAAAATTTTTGAAAATTTTTGGAATTTAGAAAAATATTTTGAAGAAATGGCGAAAATTTAAGATATGAGGAAAAATATTTGACTTCATGGAAAATTTTGGTATGTCCGGAAAAAATTTTTGACCCCTAAAATGCTACACTCACTGACCGAAAATTTTTTGGCGATGGGGGGGGCGGCGGGGGGGGGAGGTCGCCCAAAAATTTCCATTGAAAAAAAAAATTGCAGTAGATTTTGAAGTTTTGCTCTATAGAGGTGCCCTTGGTGTGCGTCCGCCCCCCTTTGCCTTATTATCGTTCCGGCGTCCCTGGTGAGCCACCAAGTCAATATCAGGTAAAGTGTTTTAAATTGTTAGTAATTACACAAAATACTACCCAAGCAAGTGTTGAAGTGATTTAATCGATAGTTTCCATAATTCCTTTTTCAAAACACAATAATATTTAATGGATCAAAACGAGTATGGCGCAGAGTATGGGCCTCCTGTGGTGAAACCTATGCCTCCTGTGGTGAAACCTCGAACGCCCACACAAACGCCCACATAGTAACATTCTTTTTAATTTAAAGGCCAAAGCCATGACGAAAGAAATGTATAATAATACCAGCTAACAAGAAATTCAATTTGAATATTTTATTCTTAGAGGATCGCTTCTGAGATTGTTTAAATTTAAATTTCTCTAATAACATGCGCTGGCTTGCACTTGGCACTGATGGTTTGTAGGAACTATAAGAACATAAAACTTCGTGATGTTCTACGACTATGACTATGCGGAACTTTTAACATATTACCTCGCAAACAAACTAAACAAAGTAGTGAAAGTATACAGAAATTATAATAACACAGCTGACAACATCAACATTTTTCTCACGGCTTTGAGCCGTGTGGGCTTTCCTTTTCAAGGGCAAGGCGGCTTTTGATTGTCTTTTACTCTATGCATCACTAAAAAATGATTGGCTCCTGAGTAAAATAGATAGATACATTTTTAATTTGCCCTTTTTTACATAATAAAAAATATCAAAAGTAATAAGAATATAAACATTTGGGCTGGGAGCCATAAAGAGACCATTCCTGCGCAGGCCGCATTTTAAAGCCGTGTTATCCACAAAAGTTAGCTTACATGAAGGTCTCCTCTGTATATTGTTGAACACCGCAAAGTGATTTGTGGGCTCGGCTGGAGAAAAACGTGAATTATTTTATGAATATAATTTTAAATATTTTAAATATATGTTGATCAAATTTCACAATGCATGTCGAAGGCTGAGCCAATGATGCATTCGAAACAGGCCATCTGGCAGCTGTTGCTCTGATCAATGGCTTGCCAAAATAATATTATAATAAAGAGAGGATTTTACGTAACCTGTGTTCGTGACAAAGGAGGAGTTGCAGCTAGATCAAGCGATGTCCGAACAGATCCCTTCTATGGCTTGTGCCATTCGTCGCGAAGCATCGAGATTCGAGAGCCTTCATCAAACTTTGGATAATCTTTACAACCTCGTACAAGAAATAGATAATATTCCTCTCAAGATTCGTATGCGAGAGTTGGTCAATAATATTGAGGGTATGTCGAAATCTTAACATATATTTTGCATGTACTTCTTCCTGATTGTGTGTTTGTTTGTGCTTGTCATTCGAGTTGCCGCATACTATTTTGAAAACATTTAGAACTACGCTGCGCTATTTTAATACAGTATTACAAACCGCTAGATTTTATTGATTGGAAATTCTCATCGAAACAGCCGGCACGGATATTGGCAGAACGAAATTATTATAAATGGAAGCCACATTTTAGATTTCTTCAAATACGTCCAGTATCTTCCTATTTGTTCTTTGATTAATATCTGATAAAGTTTGCTTTCATTTTTCGCGAATTAAGTCACGTTTTAATCTTCAGTCATCTGTTTGGTTTTTCGGCTTTCGTGAAGAGCTTGTTATTATTTCCCTGGTTTCTTCTTATAATTCGTACTGTTTAATATTAAGTTAAAGATATATTTTAAGAGGCATATAACTAATTTATCACGTTTGGAAATATTCGATGTAAAATCACCAGTTTTAGTGAACTTGTACTGTAATACAGTATGTTGTTTCTCCATGGGATATCCCACTGATGAATGAATTGTGAATAGCCAAACGTACAGAAGGTCGTAGAAAATGTCATAGGTTGCTATTTGATATTATAACAATAACATTTCTAACATTTTGCAAGATTAAATGAAGTTTACTTCTATAAAATACTCTCGCTATTCATGAAGCTCGCAAATTAAGAATATATTTCACTGTTTATTTCTTTCATGGGCATTCTAATTTGTATCTGAAGGAAGTTGTTTTTACGATAAGCATTGTTTACTTTTCATTCAACTTTTTAAAAGTACATATACCGGCTTAATACGCTACGGGCATACTCGAAATACTTGTCATTTCAAGCATTATTCAGATACGAAACCCTATCATATCGAAATATTAAAACGACCAAATATTGTAGCCTCGTTTTTCTTCGTGAATTCCATTATCTGTTCTGTATAAAAGTAGGATTATGTTTTAAAGTAATAAATTATGATGAAATCCTGTTATTTGTTTGAACAGATCAATTTGTATAAATAACATTTAATTTAAGATGTGTTGCTTACAGGAAGTCATCTAATGGAATACTATATATTCCTGAGAACAAGTGGCATCCTATCAGGTGCCAATCTGGCAATATCTTTCTATTTGGGTGGCAAACGAACTGACTCTGTCTGATAACTTTGTTTTGTCTATTTTTTGACATTTTACTTGACAAATTGTCATAAATCGCAGGAAGCTATTTGTCAGGGGCAATTATTTTCTCTCACAATTATTCAGTTGAGGCTTTTATATCTTGATAAATTTCACTATTTTTCACCTTGTATATTTATGTAGGACAATACATTAATTAAGCATGGGCTGTTTATCTAACCAATTTCACACATATTGGTTTTCAAGAATGTGATTTTCATAACATGCAGCACACTTAATGAATATTATGATTTAGTATTTTTATATAAGTGAATATAAGAAATCCGATGTGGTGATTAGTAAAATTTGGCGTCATATCCACCCACAGGTGAATATAAAAGTAAAAACTAGTTTACAAAATGGTAACTAGTCATAAAATATTCACCTTGACTTCATTTCGGTGAATATCACCTTGCTTTCGGTGAATGATTGTTAATTGTTCTGGTTTGTTGATCAATATGCTTTTTTATATTATAAAAAAATATTGTCTTGGTCATATTACCAAGTCATTTGGCACTAGCTTAGTAGAAATGCCAGGTTCCTTCCTGCTTTACTAATTAAGCATTATGTTGCCCTACTATTAATATAATTTGTCAATACTGGAGAAAGTCTTAATCCATTAAGTTGCACTGTGCCCTAATGCACCCTTTGTTATATTGGGGCAGACTGATTAGGGGATGCAAAATGTCAAATTGACATTTTGGTTTGGTGGTAAAGGAGCATGAGTTCCGACAAGCATTCCTATAGGAAAATGAATTTGTATAGAAATTCCTATAGGCAAAATAAAGATAGGGAAATGATCTTATATAGGAATTCCCATAAGAAGGAGCAAGAGTTCCTAGGAAAATGAATTCATATAGAAATTCCTATAGGAAAACAAAATTTCTATAGGGAAAATGATTCCTATATAAATTCCCATATAAAGAAGGTGCATGAGTTCCAGGAATTCCTATAGCAATTTTGTTTTCCTGTATAGGATATGTCCTATATGATATTTTCGTAAGGGGATCATGTGTGTCAAAATTATTATTACTGTTTTTGCATTTTTCACAAATTTCACTGTGGCATTTAAAATGAATATTTTTGAGAAAGCAATGCCATGCTTCAGGTTTTCAAAGCTGGATGAGTGGGTATAGATTCAAACATTAATTTGATGTTTTGCATGGTAACTTGAATATGGATGTTGTTCTTTACTTTGTCTAATATGCCAGATAATTTGATTCTCCAAAGGAAAATAGCACATTATTTAATTATCCTGCCATTTGGTTGCATATGTCACTTCATGTGCCTGTTTTAATATTTTTACCACTCTGAGTTGGCCAGAACCCCTCACAGGTTTACAATCCTATTGACAAAGGTCGATCTCCATGGGTTAGCTACTGTAATTACTTTATGATTAATGTCTAAGGGTTAATTTTTTGTGAGGGGCAAAACTGGAGAACTTGGATAAAAATCCTCCAAAGGAGAGAACCAACAAAACTCCACTTACTGTACATGAGTTTTCCAAGCACAGGGAAGTTAATACAGTACAGTATGTAGCTAACCTATGTACAGTAAATCCCTGTCCTCGATTCACCCATTAAATTGCATTGGGTCACAATGCACCCTATTTTTTATGTTACTGTGACTATCGCCAGACTATTTTTACTCTGTCTAATGCCAGACCATTTTACCTGTCAAGGACTGTACACTCATTGGGTACAGCAACTTGGAGGTTAGAGGCAGTGCATGTTAACCCCCATTAATTTCAAGGTTAACGACTCCATAATGAAACACAATAGTGCAAGGGGTGCAATTAAACACAATGGAATTCCCTATAGGTAAATTTGCAGGGGGTCCAAACACAATGGTGAAAACAATATATTCAAGATGGCATCCTTAACCTTTGAAGGGCCTGTTGCTTATGAGCAGGGACGCCGGAACTGGCGGGGGGGGGTAGCCGCCCCCTGTTGCCCTTTACCAGGAGAGGCAAGGGGGGCAAAGGTGCCCTTTCAATTTAAAGGATTGCCTTGGCGAAATAGTGAATTGTCAGAAATGTTAGTGCAATTCCTTTACGAATCTGCTTCAGAAAACACAAGAAATGCAGTCATTGAGCTTCAAGAATAGCACAATCGCCTGGCGGAGAACCCCCTCACACCCCTATATGGAATAAATAGAAAACATGATTAGGTGAAGTTCAACTCCCGATGTTTTGCAAACATCTCTTAGTATATATCAATTCAAAAGTGCCCTTTCACGAAAATATGCCCCCCCCCCTTGCCTTCACATCGTTCCGGCATCCCTGCTTATGAGACTCACATTTCTTAATAATTAATTCTGCTATAGATAATTTCTCCACATTTCAAATTGTATTAGTGCCTTTTTAAGAAATATTTACTAATCAACTGTTAATTTCTTACTGTAACTTTAAACTGATGAGTGCCAGCATTCTTCCTTTGATGAGTAAAATTGTCTGGCATTAGACAGAGTGAAATAATAAAATAGAGCACATAAGGTGTAATGCAACGTAATGGGTGAACCTGGGAAAATGTTGACAATTTGGGACAGTTGAGACCTAATTTTCCAGGGGGCTGAATCAATGTGACTGGGAGGGCAGCAAATCCAATTCCTGGGTGGGCAATTTACCCCCAGTTGTAAAGTTAAAAATGCTATGAATTGTATATGATTAATGACAATCATCACAATATACCGTACAGTATTACAGACTTATCTGCTAAAAGGAGATGTAGATTTCTTAGGGACCTTAGGGGGTGCACAGAGCTGTTGGAAAATTAGCACTTTCTATGACTTTTAGAAAGATATCCTTAGCTCCCCTCACAAGCACTTTCTCTTCAATTTGGATGAATTTCCATTGAAAATCATCAACAAAACGTCAGTGGCGTAACTACTATGGTCTTGGACCGTGCGAACCCGCGGCCCCCCAACTCCAATGGGCCAAATGGCGGCCCCAGGCTCAGGCTGTAGAGCAAAAACATTGGCCAGGGCCTCTGATATGTCACAATGTCATTTTCTGACCATCAGAATTCTGTAAAATCTCTCCCCCAAAGTCCGGGAAATGGCATTTCAGAGAGTCCAGATTCAAAAAATTTCCGGGTGAGCGTGCCCTGGACCCCTAGAAAACTTGTGCATATACGGCGCTTAACTCATGCCGAAAATTCAGGGGGGCCCTAGCTAATATAACGTTACGTCACTGCAAAACATCCCTATAGACGAGAGTGGCCATGCAAAATATTTTATACATGAAATGCTCAACAATTTTCCATTGCCCATTGGCAATTACCCTGGGTGCCAGAGGTTCTTCCATGCTCGTAGGGGGAATAATGAGGGATTGGAAGAACCTCTGGCACCCAGGGTAATTGCCAATGAAATCATCTATAAGACTTGACAAATGTTAGAGAATCAAGAGTACAGTAAAATAACAAGTAGCAGCATGGCATTGTAGGTATAAGGGTTAGCAATAAAAATTGCAGGAATTTACGTTAACCAGTGACCACAGTCTAGACGTAGGCCTTCTATTTTTATTTTTGTTAATATTCAGCGTTTTTACACATGAGAAGACTGGGACCTAAGCGATTTGGACCATGGCGATACTTACCAAATGCTAGCCCGAAATTGACCAAACTTGCCAAAGCCAGCCGAGTAAAGGTCTACTGTAGGTCTTCACTAGGCTGCACTCTGCAGTGACCCTACATGGCATTTAATTCCCCCTTGATGTCTGGCATTTGAGTAAAATAACATAGTGGGTGCATTATAATTACGGCATTAAATTATCGAAGCTGTTTAATTATTAATTCTTACATTGGTTAACAAATTACTGTGCAAATCTCTTTTCCTTGAATTGCAAGTACTTTGATTCTAGATTGTTTTCAACACAGTCCAGAGTTTAATGCAATAAAGCCAACATCGGATTATGAATTAAAGTTGGTAAGTGTTGTATACTGTAATGTCTTTTTTATATTGTGCTTGCATTTAGTCCCTGTAGAGTGTAGGTAACTTACAAGTATTTTGTTCAGTCAGTCAGTCACTGGAACTAAGTTGTTTTTTCTCAGTTCTAAATGCATGTGATTTAATCTTAAATCACAAATCTTAAATACATTATATTTTTTAACAAGTTTAAGTTCGCACACCTTGAAACTTAGTACAGTAACAGAACTAGATATTCACAGCTGGATTAATTGCGTTTTTCGTGCTAAAATAATAATAAAGAGCCAGAGAACTTTATCAATGAGGCCCCTGACCTAGGATATTGGAAGTTTCATGTAGTTTTTGGAACGGTCGTAAAAATAGGCAATAGGCTATGAACTAATAAAAGAAACGAATTTGCATTTATGATTAAAAAGTTCTAAGTCCCCTCCCCCATCAACGTTCTGAATGGTAGGTCAAGGAGGCCTATACCATTATCATATGCGTATTACGCATTAAATGTACTATATAAATCACTATAGAAAAAGGGGAGTTCTGGGGTGAAAATGATTGTATCAGCCCCTTATTTCAAGGTATTGCACATGGATGATTCCTTTGTATAGATCACTCTTCGCTTGCACAGTACTATAGGAAATTCATTCGAGACATTTCACGTGGAATGAACTGAAACTACCGTTTTGACCATAGAAGTGATAGAACTAGCCTTTTGAAGGGGTTGACGTGTTGTTTGGCTTTACAGTACAGTCCTCCAATATTCAAAATATTTTGACAGGGTGTAGTTGGTAGTATTACCTCTAGTAAATCAGCGTTAATACATCGTTATCTGACTGGTGAATGTCCTAAAGAAGAACGACTGAATGGATGTCATAAGAAAGAAGTACTTGTTGATGGTCAGAGTTATCTTCTGCTTGTCAGAAATGAAACTGGTTCACCAGACTTCCAAGTAAGTACGGGTAACAAATTATAAAAATTACAAATCCTGTAATATATATCCCACAGTGCACACACAAGTCCTATTTTTTATCAAGGTCGTCATCTAAACGGCATTGCCATTGAAGCTCAATGTTGTAACTATATTCAAAATTAGGTTATTTTATATACCTGGCAAATTATGAATACAAATTAATCCATTTAATTAAATTGTTTACAACAGAAATTACTATACATGCAAATTTTATTCTAGTTCCTGATTCATCGACAATCTGGCAACTGTAATGTCATTCAGCATGCCATATAATCCTTTTAACCTTGGTAAAAAAAACAATTATTGCACGCTGTAGAGCCCAAGCTCTCAGTAAGATTTAGAGCTGACGCAAATTGGTTTGTACAGTAGATTTTCCTCTTTAAACAAAGAAAAAATGACCAAATTGTTGTCAGAGAAGGGGGGAGACAGCACCAAAATTGTCACGAAATAATGCAAAACCATCTTGAGTTTCTATGAAATGATTTACGTGTGGTTATTTTCATATAGTTTGTGTATTGGTTAGATGCCCTAATGTTGGTATTCAATGTTGATGATGAACTCAGTTCAAGTATTTTACCCAGTTATTATGCAAGAATGTCCCATCATAGAGATTTCTCTGACATTCCAGTGTTTTTGGTCGGAATTAAAGGTAGGCTTATCTTATATTACTGTGGTAGTATTGATACAATAATGTATTTTACGAAACATGTGATAGAAGCCTTTACCAATTTTTGACAACTATATTGTAAGTGTCTTTGCTGTTTTTTCAAGTTGGACGTTTCCATATCGCATACGCTCTCAAAAGGCAAACGTTTGTTTCAGAATTATTGATTCTTCCTTTTAAACGGTCGAGAACTGTGATCTCTTAGAGGGCAGACGCGAGTGAATCGAGACGTAACAGAATGTTTTCGTTTGCTGATTTGAATAGAATTCTTAACCAAGCATAACGTAATTAGGAATTCTATTCAAGTAATTTTGCATGCGTAATTAGATATTTGATGAAAACACTAGTGACTTTCATCAGGTTTCACCGGGTTATCCAAATGGCATCTTGTGATCAAATAGGTGATTATCATTGGCTGAATTGCTCATGAATTATTAATGAATTTGAGAAGTAATATATGAATATAAGACCCTTCACAACTTTTTCATACCTTGCTTGGTTTTCGAAATTCGAAATATTTTGACCAAAAACAGTGTGCAGTCCGCCATTTTGGTATTATAATTGACCTAATTAACTGAGTTTTTGATGACGTCACAAGTAGGGTAAACTTGTTAAAACTTCTTCATGTGGAACTAAATTTCTTCGAAAAGTTTCTTAAAATGTTGTGAGTTCATTGAGTACTAAAAAGAATTCGGAAATCGAGTTTCATATTGATAATGACATGTGGTTTGCAAGATAAAAATTTCGCTTTTTACCCTACTTGTGACGCATGCATGCATATCGAATGCATATCCAAGATGGCGGAATGCACGCTGCTTTTGACTATTTTGACCAAAATAAGTCGATTTATTGCAAAATTATGTAAATAACGTAGCAGTTTAAACATATACGGCGTACTAGAATGCTTAAGTACTAGATAAAACACGAGCAGCCGATCTGTATCTGATATACAAACTCGAGCCGAAGGCGAGAGTTTGTATATCAGATACAGATCGGATGCGAATGTTTTATTGTACTTAAAAAATTACCCATCTTATGAGTTCATTGGCGAAGTAATTTTAAAAATAAACATAGTCTAAGCCGAGAAAATCAAAGCTGAAGTTTATGTAAATCAGGACAAATCTTTATCCGATTTACAAACAATACATTGATTAAACATTCATTTCTTTTGTATTTTCCTCGTGAATTATTAATTAATTTTTTAAGAGGAAATAAAGAATGCAAATTACAGTCACTTTTGTCTTTGAGTAAAGATGCTATTGTTGATGAGCACATTGTCTCGTTGCCGTTGTACTGTATTTGTCAAACTCTCAATTTACACGTACTTCGTTATAACGTCATGCATGTGTATATCCTTAACTGAACAGACAACGAAACAATGTTATCAAATTGTTGAATATATAATATCTTCCTTTCTACCATTGTACTAATGTTCTGTTGTCTTTACGAATTACCAGAACATGGAACTAACTGTATCACGAGTCCTAATCACTGCAGTCAGATCAAGAGACGTTTGAACGATGTTAACAATTGTACTTATATTGAAGTTTGTCTCGAAACTGGAGAAAGTGTAAACCAAATGTTCCAGTTAGGTAAGTTACATCCATTTTCGTTTTTACGCAAGCGCTGATAATTGCGATGGTGCATACATGTTTGTATGTGGTAGGTTGTATAGCCAATAAGCGATTACTATTTAGTATACTAAAAGTTACAAATTAAATAACATTAAAATTATAAATTTTATGGCCTGTATATAAAACAACATGTGACATGTGAGTGAAGGTACTTTGTATGCCAAATTGGAAATACGATGCTGTAAACTTTGCCGCCGTTTCTGGTGCCGGTATGAAACTCTTAACTACTTTTTAAGGCTATTTTGACCACATGTTTATACAATTGGCCCCAGGCATTTTACTGCTTTTCGAAACTGAAGTTTGACTGATAACACAACAATAACAGCAACTTTGGCGCAGCTAACAAGCACGCACAACGTAACCTACCTCAACCTCGTACCCTCTGCCTTGGAACGAGGTTGTATTAACCTCTATATTTTTCAGTTCTGTTTGTATTAATATATTGCCTGTACGTTGCCTTATACTATACAGGGTGTATAAAAAAAAAACTGAACAGATCGTAGGTTCGAATCCCACCGTGGCCGGGCATATTTTTCAAGCTCGCCCGGTGTGGATATGCACTCAGAGTAACACCGCAAACAGATTTGAAATTGCTCTCAATTTCGCAAAACAGCTATTAGTATCCAGTTTTTTTATATATATGGCTTCTTTGGGTACTTATAATGCAGAATAATGAAAAAAAGTTCTCGAACACAAATTTTGTAAACCAGGGGGTGTGTCTTTTCCGACAAACTAAAAATGGCTTGCGCACGAAATTTAAAAGGTATAATCGTATTTTGAGTTAATGTGTTGGGTGTTTAATTGCTGCACGAAATTTCAGACAATTTGCTTCAGTTTAAGCCCTTCAACTATTCACGCAAACTTACATTTTCCTAACTGAAAATCAGCAATTTGCATGCTTAATTAACGCATTTGCCCAATTTGCATATGTCAGCAATATATGCAAATTAGGTAAAGGCATTAATTAAACATGCGAAAGGCTGATTTTTTGGGAAAAAATGGATATTTAAAGGGCTTAAACTAATGCAAATTGTCTGAAATTTTGTACAGTAATTCAAAAACCCAACAAATTTTCCATCCATGAACTCAAAATACGATTAAAGCTTTTAAATTTCGTGCGCAAGCCATTTTTAGTTTGTTGGAAAAGACACCCCCCCCCCTGGTTCACAAAATTTGAGTT